AACGAGTTCGCATATCCAAATAATACTACTGCCAAGCAAATTTCAGCCCCCATAACTTTTTAAAGAAAACCATTTTGCAGTATTAATTTCCATTTTCGTAAACAGCATTCAAAACTCTATCGATTCATCTGGGTCTCTATTCAAAGTCCCACGGTAAGTAGACTACCCCTCCCTGGTAAGCTAACAGCTGTTCATAATGAGAAATTTCTTGCGCAAAAAAGTTTGGTCTCTAGCGCAGTATGAACCGTGTTCTCGAGGGCGGTGATACCTTTTTGAAGTTGAATTATTACAGGATCATTAAACCTGCTCAGGCACTATTACACGAGGAAACGTCGCAACTGCTCCAGTTTTGAAAAAAGTTTTTCGTATATTCTTCGAAGGGCACAGTCAAAATTGTTGGTCCAAAGCGCTTCATCACCCTGTCGTCAAGGCTTTTCGGTACTCCATGCGGTTCCTGGATAAGCTCCACGAATATCTATGTGCTAAAGGTGAAACTCCTAATTTGGCTCCAGAAAAGCCCAAACACCGAGAGCCCAAACACAAAAATATTTAAAAACAGGTAAGGGATGGGTCAACAAATTAAATGAAGCAAACTCACTCACTCAAGTAAGCGAGCTTTTTTGAATGTTGCGGTATTGTTGAATAAATGATGAAATTGATTCCATTAAAGTGTGGGTTCAGAAGAATACTGTGAAGGTGAACGAGACCTTGGGTATCATAAGCATGTCTATATTATACGAATCTCGGATTACGAGGAGCGAACTATACCCTGTATAGGGAGGGTTAATTCATTTCTTGGGGAATCATATGCTGTTTCTACCAGTAAGTATCGAAAAAATATTACAGATGAGTTATCGCATAATAGACTAGTTCGAACATTATCTAAACTGCTCGACGACCATCGGAATGTAACCGTCATTTTGGTATTTTATTTTGCAAGATGATCACGGGTACAAGAAAGATTGGGAAAAAAACTTGTCTCACTCGTTCATGTCGAATGACTTTCTGCAGCAGAGTTTATCCGTGTTAGCTTTACTCCGTTACCACAATATCGGTCTCTTCACACATCATTTGGGAGTGGAACCTACGTCAGATGTTACACTCCCCGTTATCGAAATCCGGCGTTGTCACACTATTTTTAGGGGCAACTTTCGTCACAACCATGCATTACATTGTTTTATTTTATTGATGCAGACTTTCTCCTGCCCTGCAAATATGTTCAATTCATGTGTTCACTTCTTTAGTACACTTGATTGTTTAGCACAAAAACTTTTATTTGTTTTATTGTGTTTCCGTCACTCATATGACATACACAGAGAAACGAATCATGCTCTAATCCATTCAGGAATATGTAGCTGCCTTGCTCTTGCAGTGCATACTACCCGCAGAATACGTGAGATCGTCTTCTCTCAGTATTCTTGGTTACCCAACTGGTCCGTTTTCATAGGGCTTCCAGTTCATCAATTTGGCCTTGAATTGTGTCTGGCCGTCTCTTGACACCAAGTTTCTGACATAGATCCGTTTTCATTTTCCAGCTTCAACGACACTTTGCGTTTCGTCCTTCTTCGTATAAGTGCATCAGATACCTTCCCATCTGCCGCACGTGGACCTGATCTAACGCTTCACATGTCGTTGACACTTTTGATGCGATCCACAGGTGTTTTAATTTATAACTGCGTTTCACATCTATCCAAAGGAGTGAGCCAAACCCATTTATTAAAGAAACTCCGCTTGTGTTTAAGCAACGCCATACGATTTTTGAACAAAGTTTGAACTCATCTATTAACGATCCACACTGCGCTCATCCTTCTACTGATTTCTGTTCGCGATCCTGAGCGAAGCATGGAAGTTGACATATCCAAGCGAACGACGATACCGATTCGATTTTTATTGCGTTCAATTACTTCATTTTCATAGATTAATAGACAGGATTGATAGTCATCTACTTGGTTCTATTCGCATTCGCTTCAAGTCCTATAAGTTTAGAAGTCCAGTGAGTTTGTTGTGCATGGTTTGCACGCCATCAACAGCTGACGAGCAAATGAAAACATCATAGCATGGGCGATGTAGTTGAGATGGTGCCGTTCAATGGGATTCCTTGATCGTCGAGGTTGAAGTCGTCGAGACGCACCAGCAGAGCCAGGATAAACAGGAAACGGGATCCCGGATAATGAGTCACCTTGAGGGCTACCTCTGTGCATATCAATCCCTCTATCCTTAGACTACTGAAGCAAGATGATCTTCCGGATATCGAATAACTGTCCTATCTCATTACGAACTTCTCAATTCTTTCATGGAGTTTTCAATTCAATAATACCGAAGCTCTCTAGAATTCGGACCATTTTGAGCGTTTCCCTCCGATCATGGTATTTTTCTAGCAATCATTCACGATGAAAATGGAATCATGAGAGGAACTGCTTCTCGTTTTTTTNTTTTTTTCAGGCGGGTTTAATAATCCCTCCTTCATGCGCTAGGTCAACGCTTGCCTAATAAGTATGAAGGCGGTTGAAAGCAAGAAAATAGGCCTCTAATCGCTTATATTGAGGTATCGCTTCTTTTTTTCAGGAGTACGGTTATGGCAGTGAGATAGTTATCTGTAAACTGGTTAAACTAGAAGTGGTTCAATTCCTTAGCGTTATCAAACGAGAGCAGTAGGCATGTCACTCCAGATGCTATTCTCGACACCACGAGAGGAGTTAACTAAAACTCTAGTACATATTCCACGAAATCCTTCTGCCGATACAGAATGGCTAAGTGGGCCATGTTCCGAAAAGGTGAAGGAGCCTTCAACGGATGGACACGGGTTTCTGAAGAACGCCTTGCTATGGCGGTAGCTTTTTGCAGCGTCGTCGTAACAGTATCGCCGAGATATTGTATTTGAGCTATATGCCTACGTTCCTAACCAATTGGTGTCGAGCATCCCTGATCTCCATTTCTTCTATTGCATTTTGCATGGCTCGTCGTTGTGCTTGCTTATCATCATTGAGTGATCAGCCAAAGCCAGTAATTATATACGATAAAGTATGTACTCGTCGTCTCTTTTGACTCCACATTTAAGCTTCTTCGTTTCGTCATTGTCGAATAGGAATGAGTTCGTGTCCATGCTGAGTAATTTGGGTGAACGCAATGCAGTTTGGCGCGGCTTCTATGAAAATTAAGATTTTGAAGCGGATCGGGGCTGCACTGCCACCTTTGGCTGCAGCCATCCATCGATGGCCTTGAAGGTCTTGGCTCCTGCCCTATTGGGTGTCCCTCACTCTCATTGCTAAGGTAAATTGTACTCTTCGACAATCTCGTTCAACAGTACATTTTGGAAGAGTCGTAATGTCCTCTGTTTGCCACAGCACATTACTTATGTCGTTACGTATAGTTCCACTAGGACTACTCTTTGCCCATTTCCCCCCATTTCGTCGTTCGAGAAACAACTAGACCCATAACGGAACAGCGAATGAAAGTTGTCGAAATCAATCGTTTTTGAATGCCATTAGGTCCACAAGTATGTTCACAGTCAGATGGATGGTTAATGACTGCATCAAAGTCATCTTCGAAAATTTCAAGTGTCTGTGAGCTTATTATGGGGAGTCTTGACGCTTTGACACAACCACAAAGTCGCTATAAAACTTCGTCTGAAGCGAAATAGGTCGGAGCAAATAGATGCTTGAATAGAGTTGACATGCACGCTTTCAATGGGAATTCGTCTTGAACCACCGATCGCTAGTGTAACGACTATCAACAAGTCTTTTGTGAATCGAGAAGGGAATGTACAAACCTACATTAGCATATGTGGGGAGGTATTGTCACAACGTTCCCACGTATACTGAACGTACCTTGTAAATTATTTTGTATTGCATTTGTTAAGTAAAGTAGTAAATTATAAAGTACAAAACTAGAAATTCCGGCCCACTAGGGCATCGAGTTTCTGCAAGAATCAGTAGAGTGAATCCCACATTCCAAGCGTCAGCTGTCAAATTTGAAGCATGCCTCATACATTGACGGTGACTCTTTACAGAAGGCTTCAAAAAGGGAAACGCTACTGCCGGTTGGACTTGATTGCAAAATTATCTGTGGCAGAAAGGAACCGTTCTAGGAGGAAGTGGAAATATGTAAGTGCAGAGCATGCAGAAGCTAAATTTATGGGTTAGCTATGGAAGAAAATGATTCCGCTCACATGTAGCTTCCACTTTTTTTAAATTTTCTAACAAAATTTTGAGGCGAATACAAGGGCATGACTTAATACAGCATCTGTTCAATGGTAGCGAAGGCTTCAAGGCCATCTCTGCTACCAGCGAAGATACCCTCAAAGCCATGGCGCACAATGCGCGTATTGTAATGCTAGCCGTCAAGACACAATTCGAGCTCCCGAAGCATTCAGCATTAAAATCAAGTTCAATTTTTGCCTTTGCCTTTGCCTTTGTAGGGTTTGCAACCAGTGTGGTCCAATTTTTTAGCACCTCTACTGCCACTTTTTTTTCGCCGACAAAGCCAACGCTGAAGTTGCCACTGCATCCGCTCAATTCTCGGTTTGGGAACAAGTTGGACTATGTAACACCAGACGAGTCACCCGGCTCAGACCGGGACTCATTCCTCTCTTCAAAGAATTGTTAGGAAATGATTTAGTTACGTAGAAGGGGGGGGGGCTTCCTTTTTATTCAACAGTGAGGATTACAGTGCCAAGAAGGATGGCTAGCCGACCTCAAAGCTAGGATGGGGTATGAGTTGAGAGTTTATAATATGTTAGTTAGCCCACCCGATGCCCCTTCCCTCCTGAAGTTAAGGTCGAAAAAATGTATGATCTCGGCTCAGAAACGTTGCCGAGCACAATTATGGGCTGACCACCATATCTTTATCGCTCAATGTTGAAAAAAGAGGAGGTCCCTTAACTACATTATTAAATCTGTTGTAAACATACATAGCACAATGCTGATACAGATCGAAATCGCAGGTCTGACGTACCCGCTTAACTCCATATTACTCACTTCACTCCGCAGTACTCACTCTCCTCCATTAAGCTACCCACTACCAAGTTACTGCTCTATCTGTAAGGAAGAAATGTGAGAGCAGGACTCCCCACATCACTACTTTATCGTAATCACAAAGTTTGGCAGACGGACAAATCGACAAACTGACACGCCAAATTACTGCTATATGAATAAGAGAGAGAGGTAAAACATCAAGGACTGCATGGAAATAAATGGAGGTTTGGAAACGTATAGCGAGAGCTACCTCCCGTTGTAAAATAATTTGAGTAAGCCGCAAAATAAGGCTGCCTGCACAAATCGAGGCAGTTGATAGGTATGAAACAAAGTTTTCGTCAATGAAGAGTATCTATAAAGTACTGGTATCCTTCAATACATCGTGTCCCACAGGCATCATCTGGATGCCTTTTTACCGGGGAGGATCATCAGTAAAACTCGATGAAGGTCTGACCATGACGAGTGTAGCTCTGGAGCTCGGTATCGCCCACTGGGTTGTTTCACGTGCATGGAGAGTGTCTCAAACCTCTTTACCGCTGCCCAAAGGACGGGTGGTGGCCGACCGAAATCAACAACATAAAGAGATGGGTCGTTACATTGCGGGTAAAAAAAGATCCGCCTTGATCAGCTTCTGTGACTGCAATGACGTTAGCATGACTTCAAGCCAAGTTATCTCACACACTACAGGGGCACAACGATTAAGCGGCTACGGTCTCTTCGCCAGTCAATCCTCTCATTGTGTTATTTGGGGAGGGGCGAGAGGGGACATCGTGCTGCACGGCCGTACTGACATTCAGATTTTTGAAGCGTAACACTTACCAGTTAACTTTACGTGGTGAGGTGTTTCTTTCTCATGTGCGTCTTTTCAAAGCTGCAGCACGCCCTGAATCCATTTTTACCGATGACAATGCGTGATCGCATCGAACAGCACAGGTGGAGGAGCTTTCGGCACGAGTGGATGGTGAATGGAGTGGTCTGCCAGTCGCCCTTAACAATCTCATCGAGCACATGTGGGATGCACTAGGTAGGCTCACTGCAGGACGTCCAAATGCACCAGTGGTCATCCAGCAGTTGTCAGTTGTGCTTATAGAGGAGTAGAATGTCCTAACGAAGGAACTCACTCGCGACCTCGTGGAAAGTATGGAATCGCGTTGCAGAGCATGTATCGCTGCCCGTTGGGATTATACACCCTATTAGGAACCGCGTCGTTTTTTTTTTAAAGTACCAGGATAAATTGTGAAGACTCTAAAATTATAGTACTCCTGCATAGATGGAAATCAATATATGCGTATCGTCTTCGACAAAAGTCTGATAACTCGAGTCCAGGAAATTCTGAACGCGAATCATGGCTAGGTGCGTGATGAAGACGCATTACCAATGAAAAAGCGTTGAAGGATTGATCCAATTCAGTTGCCTTGAAGCAATTGTGCTTGATGCACTATAAATAACTTTATAACTTCCCTGATGCCCAACACATACGTATTTACTTAAATGCGAAATTATTTTCTGTTTGAATTTTCTCCAAAGCTAACAGATTTCATCGACATCAAGAGGAATAGACAAGCGAAAGTAAACTGACAAGCTAACAAATTCGAGCTTGTTAAGCGACACAGCAAAATAACTGCGATAGAATTGCGGAGACTGGGGTTTCTGCTTGCCAGCACATTCAGGCCGGGAGCACGGTATCTGCTGAAGGACATGCGTTGTTGTTGTTTCTGGCTCGATCCAATATGTATATATTTTCGCCAGCGGTATACGTCTCGTACATTTCTTCGACGTAATTTTGTGGAACGGAGCGTTCATTGAAAAGGGAACACTGTACCTGAAAACACAACATCAGAATCTGAAATGCCCGACCCTTCAATGGTTTATAGAATGGCGGTCATAGCAGCTGTCAACCTAATAAGTAGTATCGATGTAGCTTTTTTCCTAAGTCTTACAATAGAAAGGTAATCATTTTACCTACCCAGGTAATCTTCTCCTTTTGAGGTTTGAACAGTTAATATCCCCAGCAGAAAATCTTTTCTGAGCGCCTAGCACTCTAGCTCAACCGGCTACCCCCTCTCTATGTTCTCTGACGACCAGTGTTGGAGACGGAGAACATAATATGTTCAACAATTAAGCACGAGAGAATTTCACAGTATGAGATGATATGTGTCGAACTCACCCCCTCGTCGACTTTAGCTGTGGCTACGATGAAACATTCTGGGAAATCTTCTAGACACTGCTTGAGACAAGCACCTTCACTTTGAGCAGAGAGTGCTTTAGCAACTTCCGCTTTATCCCATGGCGCTTCTTCGCTGGTTATGATTGTGAATGTGCAGAGTAAGGCTCTATGTACCTGAAATCAATGGCAGATGGTAATATTGTCAAGGATGTCATGTTAATATTATGTACACCCTGATCAACTTTATTCTGTTGGACTCTCGTTACGAAGGCAAAATACACGGCTGACTCCGTGCAGAACAAATGACTTATTTCTAATTACAAAATCTTTGAATAGAGATCGCCCATTCGACAGGACAACATATGCGACATAAAATAATACATGGGGCATGTCCGACTTCATCGTCGATGATACTAGGTCATTTCGTTTAGGAGGAATTCCATGAAAGAACCGGAACTGCAAAATCGACCAGAGGCGCATACGTTTATCGCTGGAGCTTACAGAATCTCTGTAGCCCCACTTTCAACAGAAACCATTCATCGGAAACCAGGTGTTCTCCGCACACTATTGCGTGTGTCACAACAAAAAGCTGTCTAAAAGACATGTATTTTTTTNTTTTTTTGTTTTCTTTTATTGTTTTATTGAGCTTCACCTTTTTTGGTGGTATTGGCTATTGGTAGTTTCATTATTCGGCTAAAGTCTGGGTTGTCTGGTCATGGGTTTTTGCAAGGATTTCGGAAGGCTTGGCTCACCGCAGAAGAGTCTACTTTGTCTGACTTACTGATCTGTTACTTTGTTCATTTTGCCGCGTGTCTGGACTTTGAGGCGCAGTTGTGACCGACATCAAAAGTTGGTCTCATTTCGTTTTGCTACCTCTGATCACTCCTTCCGCGTTCTAGAACATTTTTAAACAGAGTTATGAAACTTTGAACTCGGCGGCGCCCACTTCGGAGGAAGCCCTGTGCCGTTGACCTTCAAAAATTTGGCCACTTCCTTCTATTGCCTTTAGCCACATATTTTCCGCGTTCTAGAGAGTTTTTGAATAGAGTCATGAGTTTCCTAAAAAGATCATAGCACTTGAACACACGCTCCTCTTTCTGTAGGCAGAGCTTTGCCATGTAACTCACTCCTTTAATTTTTTCAAGCTTTTACCCTTTTATTTAGTCGAGTTATGAAACAATGTGGAAAGTACCGCTCACTGAAAAAACGCTCATCCCACCGCTATTCATTAACTTGTTCATTCATTTCACTTACTACCCCACCCCACGTCTTCGCTCACTCTTTTCGGCGTCTGGGCTATTATGAAACCGAATGAGTAGTTTTGTCCACACCCCACCCACTGAGGACCGACCTTTGCTGAGCTTATATTTGCTCTTTTGATCTCGCTCTGTGCCCCACCATCCCAAACTTGAGGTAAATTTTGCAGGGGTTTCTTCAGGTTATATCGAATTCCGGTACAAAAGAACAAACAAACAAACAGACAGGCAGACGCTACCCCTTTATGTATAGAATGATCCTACCATTTTGGTCTAGCGGCGCATTAGCTTCTCTGAATCCAACAACCTAGTTATTGAACTGGAGACTTGGATTTTGATTAGTAATGATGATAGTAATACTACCAGGAGTTTTGACTTGATGTTTTGTTAACTGCTGTTTTACTGCCGCAGTACGCGATGCGAAAGTCTCACAAGACTGGCGATTTGTGGGCAAAACTTCTTCGTCGGACGGGACTCGAATCCGTACTTGTACTTTTCGGGCACCGGGCTGTTCACCCCTCACACTACCAAGACCCCGCCTGCCCTCGCCTTCTTAATGGCTTATATGCCACCAGGCGGGCCGCCCGGCCGACGCCGAGCTTCCTTCCTTCTTATGGTAGGGTTGTAATAATCGGCAAATCGATCCCTACTCATTTGGGAGCCAAATGATATAATATTTTTCGGAACACGAAATTCGACAGATGACTATTAGGGCACGCAAGATGTTTTTGAAATGAACCGATGCTTATGCCTATGTTTAGAAGTTTCAATCTGTTGCTGTTCGTCTCGAAAATAATGACCCAGTGAAGGCTTAGCTGCTCGGCAACCAAAGCCCTAGCCATGCCATTATCGAGTGTCTTTATCAATAAAGCTTCCCTTCACCACGGATACACCACTAAATGGGAATCAAAGATTATCAGCGGTCGGATAAGTGTTGCCAAGAATGACACGAAGCGAAGAGGAACAGAGATTCTTCATTGAGTCGCAAACTTAACTGAGTAGCGTAACCGTATAGTCGTAACCCAATAGCAAGAAATGAACCAATTTTCGTCTCCTCATAAATTAGTACCCTTAGTCGGTCCCTATCACTGCACTAACCCCTTCTTGTTGAATGGAACATATCAGGAGTCAAAGCTAGACCGTAAATAATAACGGCGTTGGATTTAATTGGTGAGTGGGTCTTGTTTTCTAAGGGCTCTTTCATCGTCAGTGTTCCCATTCTGCCCCATCTACTCCTATGAGGAGCCCAGTCCCTCCCACCCATTATAAAAGTTCCCATCCTGTCTCCTGTACCTCCTACCAAATCTGAACGCTTGGGGTTCACGGAGACAGGAGCTACGATTTTCCACTCAAACCCCGCCAACTAGGGGCAAAGCCCGGTGCTTCCAGCTGCCATAAGTCTTCCCATCCTATCACCTGTACACCTACCAAGACTAAACGCCCTAAGTCAACTTCCGCGCAAATTCCGCCCCCTGCGGGCGTGGTTCGGTCTTGCTACCAATCGTATGTATTCCCATCCTGCCGCCTGTACTCATACCAAATTTGAAGGTCCTAGGTACACGGAAACGGGAGAAATGAATTTCTGTTTAAACAGGAGTTATGAACATCTGGTCGGACACACACACACAAGCACAAACACACACATGCGCATACACAAAAGAACAGACACACTGAGCGTGTATATATGGTAGGATATTCTATTTCATGGGACGTATGTTAGAATGACAAACTGCAGTTGATACCCATCCAACCTCACGCCTTGACATTTTTTCAGGTTTTACATAGAATCTTCAGAGTAAACTAAACCATCTGAGATTCAATTCCAAAACCACGCGAAATGTGGTGCGCCACCTAGCACGGCATTACGACCTACCACAGCCTCATATTCAAGTTTAAACTTGGGTCCTTGATTATTGAGCAACACTTCTTTGTAAGACAAAGATATGATCCTCTCAAGCAACGCTGTGCCCAACTACCGTGGCCAGCAATGTGCTCCTTATGATTTCAATGCTAAGTTTACCACTGTACCTTGTACTCACAACTGCAAAGCCTTTACATATTCTGCACAGCTGTTACTCTCCTGTAATGATATCTGAACCCTTTCTTATGAACATACCTGGATGAAGAAAAGAATCCAGACAGATGGAGCAGCGACGGCTTTGAGAAGAAGCATACTCCTTAAACACAATTGTATTTCTTCAGGACTTTTCCAGGGCAACGGGTCACAACGTATGTATAAGAAAGGTTGATAAGAACTGTCTCAATGTCTATGGGAAAAAGAGATCATCCCCCGACCGGTCTATATGGCTAGTTGGAATTTGCTTCATTTTGGCTTGTTAGAGGGCAGCGATAGTAATGGTTCATGAGTAGGACTGTATCTGTCAGGGTATTGCCTTACAAATTTCATGAGGTACTGATTACCTATTCATTTTACCTTCCAGGCTAGGCACCCATAAACCTTCACTAAAACACAAAAAGGCAAAGTAAGACAAGAACACACGAAATTGCCTCACCTTTCTCTGCAGCGCTTGACGTACTCTATGAGAAGGAAAAGGCGGGGAGTTTTGGTAATTCGCGATTACCTTCTTCGGATGATGGAAGTTTCTATGGTTTCGTCCATTTTTATGCCATGAGCTTGTAACGCGGCCATGAAGGATTAAAAATGAAAAGGGAATGGATGAGTCTTAGCGTCACAGTGACCCATTAGTTGGGCTTCAAAAGTAAAATAAAGCCGTCGTCAAGAGCGAAAATGCAATTGAATCAGCACCGATTGCCAGTGCCGCTAGCTTGGACTAGAAGAACCAAGGTGGAGCGATATTCTAGACTGCTGCTTTGCTTCAAAAGCAGTTGGGTACAAGGCAAGCACCCACTCGAACTCAATTTGACCCTTTCTAGTACATCTAAAGGTAGGCAGTATATACAGGTGAAGAGAACTTGGCGGTAGCACGTGGACTAGGACGGTGGGGGATTACCTGTGTGGTACCTCACTTCCATTTTAACAAATCGGCCGCAGAGACTGCACAAAAAGTGTTTGCCGCTTGCAGTCCGAGATAGCGGCAAGCTCCTAGCACTACCATTCTCAATGCATGCTAAAAAAATTAAACTTCAGCCTTGTCAGCTTGTGAAAAGCATTGAGTCGAGGAGCTTCTTCATCGTCTCTCGTGTGGTATACTCGTCAGAGCGGATGGAGCGCCAAACGGTCGTACGGGGACTGATAAACCCATCTGAGCTTGGATCTGACTCACAGACAAAGAAGTATTCGCCACAAGACGGGCTATTGTCCTGTTGTCCTGAGCAGTCAAAATACGTGGACGGCCAGGAATAGGTTGTGAGCGATAGCTGCGAGGGCCTCGAATTAATCTAGCAATGCATGAAAAAAAGCGGCCTAGTCGCCGTTTCAAAGGAATATGCACATTCAAAATTCTTCATTCCAAGGGTAACCAAGGAACCTACCGTAGCGAAACCATTCTAAAACGACTCGACAACCTTTACAGGAATTTAGGAGGCCCTATTGATTCCTGAGTTATATTTCTGTTTTCTGCTAAGTGTGCACATACTTTTGAAACAAAAATAATTTCTTTGATAAAAAGTTGTGTTAGCAGCTACGATGTTTTCTCAGAGAAAGTGAACGTAGGTTATCGCACACAAAGAATTGAATAGTGAAGGTCCCAGGTTGCAGGAAGCAATGGTGTACCCAAAAAAAACAAAATGTTGGGTGTGCACATACTTTTGAATCACACTGTATAAGGTTTTGCTTTTGGAATGTTATTGAGCACTGGTAACGGGAGAGGAGATATGATACAAAAATTGGAAGCATAGGGCTCGAGCAGGAGTAGAATATCCGCATTCCAAGGTAGTTGAGTAAACGACCTCATCTTTGGTGATCTAAATAGGGCAAAAAATCTCTAACTTCTTGTCGATTGAAAGAAACGCCACAAGAAGCTGATTTGCAAGCCCCGTTGTCCTCATGAAAGTAGCTATGCTCAAGTGCGACTTTCATTCCAAAATTTCCAGAAGAACTTCGCACAGTTTCGGAATTTTTGCGAAGCCTTGACCACCGCTCACTTACTGAATCATTGATGGGTCGTGTGCGTTCACTCATCAGCGACAAGTAGTTGTTGCCATCAGGTGTCATCTGCGATTGCGCAATAGACCTATAAATCGATACAGAAAACCACTGACACCCCTCTCGTGTCACTGCTCAGGCGATTATCCGTGTTATAAGCAATACGGTAGACAAATGATGACAGGTGATTGGTGTTGCCACGACTGACTCACCTCTCCATATCCAGTATCGTCATGCGGAAGAATAGGACGTTCGGATCAGGGAAATTGAGCCATGTGAACTTTTCGAGGGATTCTGTCGTTGGCTTTCTAAGACCAACACCAATGAAGAAAACCTTCAATAGCATCTATTGATATACCTAGACCTTCACTTGAAATAAAGCTTCCCAGATTACTTTTTTATTGTCATACGGCTGTACTCCTGCGTCCAGTATCGAACTGTTCACCCTAAGTAACTTGGACTCATCACCGTCACATCGTGAACAGTATTTCTATGAGCAATATATTTTGAAAGGTATAAACGGTGAAAATTAAAAGCTCCTGAATAATTATTTCTATGTTATTGTGCCTTGTTGTAGGCCACATTGATCTCTGAGCAAAGTTTTGCCTCCCTAACAAGGATGTCGATAGGAGCAGCATACAGAAGGACATTTCGGTTCATCTCGAAAACTTCATCAGAGCCGAATGCACTTTGTCGTCGCATCTACTCCAACGACCTGAACAAGCATATTGCCGGAAAAGGTGATTGTAGAAGCTGATAAAAGAGATGGGAGCATACAATATGGCGATTATATAAAATAATACGTGAATAAAGTTTAACTTTTTTCACTTTGGAAACATCTATCCACGCAGTTCCTTCGCTTCCATCGCACTATTTTCCATCTTACTTCCATTTTTCGTCGTAATCTGGGTTACTCCGATTTACCGTGAACTGTGCCTCTAAGAACTACATACATACGTGTAATGTATAACATCGGATGAGTACACTTGAAGTGACGATTGGACATCGAATTCACGCTAGTGGAGTAAGAATTTTTTGAAAAGGACGATGTGAACGACAGAGTTTCAGTATGCTGTCACGACCAATACATACCTTCCCGTCCAGACGTCGAGCGACTATTTTCGCAGGATTTTAACTAATATTTGGAAATTATAGAGATGATGACATGCTTCTTGAAAAATCTAACTAGTAGAATGTGACCTGTTGTACTTGAGGACAGGTATTATTTTGGTAGATAGGTGTAATGATATGCGGGCTGCTGTGGTGCCTGAAGTCACGAAAGTGAAAATTGTGTACACTTGTAGTACTCCTCTGTTCAGTGGCACCTGTCACGAAGTGAAATTTCATGCTATTCATGCACTCTTTTTTTCAGTGATACCTACAGTAGCGCTCAAAAGTCTTCGGTGGAATGCTTTGACGCTTTTTCGTTCATAACTTTTTTCTTAGTAGGCCAATCCAATTCGCGCAAAATTTGGATATAATCAACTCGAGCGCATTTCACCCTTCCCAACACTATTTGACTACAAAGAGGCAATATCCTCGGATAGAGCAAGGTGTTTGTTGCGGTAGCAGATTTT